ATTAAAAAGGAAAAGGGAAAAAATATATATAATTCACTTAGCTCTTTTATGCAGTGTCTGCAGTTTCTGGTTGGGACGAGTGATGAGCTAAAGAGAGACAGAGTGTAAGAGGCGGTGTTGAGTACAGACATCACCTGCATGGGGGCAGGAGCAGAGAGACCATTAAATTTTTCCCCAAAAGAGTGGTTTGTGGCTTGTCCTCTGTGCGGTATGCCAGGGCTGATCATCAGGTGGACTGTTGCCCCTGGAAGGCCTTGATGCAGGTTGTTCTTTGCAGTAGAGAGGGACACCTGTGATGGCACCAGAGCCAGGCTCCGTATCTGCAGGGTTGGATTAACCCAAGGCTGTGTTTAAGATTTTGTGAGGTCCTGGAGAGGAATAATAGTCCCTGTTAATTAATCCCTGGTTTAGCTCGAGCATCTCCGCGTGAAGCTCGTTTGCACAGAGAGCATTGGTTGCTGGGTACTCTGCTTCACCCAAGAAGTAGTTTATGAGGGAATGGAGGGGCGAGGAGGAGAAACAGTGGAAGATTCAGCACACAGCCCAGCAAAGTTGCAAGTCAGACAGGAGCAGAGAAATGAATCTGATTTCTTCTTGGCTGATGTGTCTGCGTGATGCTCCTTTCTTCACTCCCGAGCCAGCCAATTCCTCTAAGCTAAACCTGCTGATTCAGCTCAGCCCTTGGATGAGCAATGATCCTGGGAGTCATTTGTTGTGGCTGACAGCCCCTCCACACGCCAACCAGTCCTTTTGGAAGTGAGCAGTCATTTCTGTGGAAAGGATTATCAAGGTACTGGCAGCACCGTGGCAACAGGCTGTCCTCCGGCCCCACGGTACAGCCATAAATCACATGGAGAGGGACAGTGAGGAGCTACCACAGCCATTAGCTGCTCTGCTTTTTTGGGGGGATGAATTTTTTGCCAGTTTTTTCAAATCCAAAGCTTGACGGGTGACAGCTTCATACCTGATTTCTAACAGGACGTGGATGCGTGTGTCAATATTGGGAAAGAAATGCACACCTGGGAGATGCGTCACCAAGACATGAGGAGCTCGTGGGCTCCTTCTTGGTTTGGATTTACACATGATTTGGATTTACACATGATTTTTGGATTCACACATGATTTGGACCTTGAGTGCAGCATATGGTACAAACTAATGAGATTTACTACTGGGGCTTAGTGGGCCCCTGGGAATACAGATATTGCCGTGGAGTCCCACCTCTCCGGTCAGCTCTTTACCCAGCATCTTGACCCTAAAGCACTGTGGCTTGAAGAAGGATGTTGCAGGAAGTAATCCATGCTCAGTACTGATGGTTGATGTGTTCCTGATTACATACACACTGATTTACAAAAATGCTGGTGTGTGTACTCATCCACAGGCCTGTACGTTCATAAAATACCTTGTGTGTATCAAAAATTTCCACTGAACTCCACTCCCACCGCTTTCAAATACCTAAAGAAGAAGGGGTCAGAGAGGAAGAAGTTCTGCAGCAAGCTCTGAACAAGTCTACAGGGATGTCAGTATCCATGAGCTGGTGAACCCCCATGTCTGCTTTTGCCTTCAGGTTTGCATTCCTCTTTTTCTGTGCTTGAAATCCTATCTGAAGTATATTTTCGGTGACAGGTGACAAGTGATTATTCCTTGGAGAGAGGTGGCAGCTCTCCTCCAGAGTCCTTGCCTGTGGTGTGAGCTGGGCAGAGCAACCGGGCTGCTTGGCTGAGAGGGATCTCAGAGGATGAGAAGGGATTTAATTTTCTTTGAAGCACTGCAGGAGCAAAGTCCTAGAGAGAATTTCCATTTAGGCTATTTTTTATTATTTTTTTTGGTGGAAAAATGAGCTTTTTTCCTATTTAATCAAAAGCCCAGTTTGCTTCAGCAGTTTTGATGGAAAATTTTCAACATAGGTCTTTGTTGTAAAATACCAACACATCAGAATTATCCCTTTATCTCAGCAGATGCACTTTCCAGAAGGGGAATATCTCAGGTGATGAAAAACACAGCAGCTTTGCTGCCTTGACTCAGTCAGACAGGTTTTTGATGATAGAGAATTTTGTCTAAACAGACCCTTTTCATTAAAACTGAGATGCTTTGTGGACAGGTTTTGGATTTGCTCAAGTTTTCACCATTTATTTGTCTTTCCATAGTTCTGTGCAGCGCTGCCTTGTGTAGTGACGGCGTGTGTAGCGTTGTGGGATCGGGTCTCTGCTTCGCCTGGATTCAAGCTAGCTTGGCCTGAAGTGATTCAGATGAAGCCAAGTTGTGGTATGAAAGGCTCTTGTTTCTGAGGCTGCTGGGGGTATTAGACTGCTTGAATCTCCCATCTGGAATTAGGAAGTGGTGTTTGATCTATAGTTTAGGGAAATAAATTGTATAAAATCCTGTAAGAAGCAGACCGGAGTTTCCCATGCTCCAGTCTCAAATGGCCCTGGTGACAGCTTTCCAGCACAGGTTTCATCAGCTCCCTCTTGGCCCTGCTGCTATCCTCAAAAGCACATCCAACTGGGAAAAGCATCTGTGAAGCTGCAGAAATCCCAGAAAGGATGTGCCCTTGTGCATACAGAACTCAATTTACAACAGGAACAGCACAACCTCCTAGTCTAGCAGGCAAGGAACCAAAGGAATAGCAAGCACATTTCTTTTTGGGGAGGAAATGTCCTATAAGTCATTTTTGCACCCTTCTAGTATCTTACAGAAGAACCGTTCGTGTGTTCCATAGCGTATGAATGATCCTTTATAAACTCTGGGTACTGCATGCTAACTGTTTCCATAACTTACTGCTGCATACATTGCAGTGATGTTAAAACCCAGCTTTTCTATCTAAGTTATAACAACTGGACATTATGTTAAACGTTTTTACTAACATTTAAACACAGGTAACGCTGGCTGAGCTTCATGACCCTGCTGACAAAGTAGCACAGAGTCGGAGCCCGCTGTGACTGGTGCATGTTTGCTGCTTTTCTTTTTGATTCTGTGTAGCAGGTAACAAGGTGACAACATAAGTGATATTCTAAATAAGTGATGAATCAACAGCTTCCACCGGGTAAAGTGTAGAACAAACTGTGCTTGGCTTTTTCCCCACTTATTTATAACCTACAAGATCAGCTTTATTTCCCTGTATTAGAAAAAAATAGCTTACAACCTCTCTTCCTTTTGCTTGGGGATTGGCAGGAGCTCGTTGAAATCTGTGAGCAACAAGGTCACAGAAGGAAAAAATCTGATGGGGAATTCTCCCACTCTGTAGCTGGGTGGGATACAGATTCAGTTCTATCCCAGCAATTAAAGCTTTGATTTATTCCCTTGAAATCCTTCAGCTGGCATTTTTCAGATATCTGCAAAAATCTTACAGCATAGACAAGAGACCTCTAGCAAAGGACGTAACTCAGAGCAGGGCTTCCAACAGAATTCCCTACTCCGTTCCAGTTGAATGTCATGTCAGTCTGGGCCTCATATTTATTTTCTTTTCCTGCTCATTAAAACTACCACACACGTGACAGAAAATGCTAGGAAAGGTTTTGGTCTAATTGAAATAAATTGACTTGGAGGACGTGGCTGGGGAAAAAGAAGAGAGGATGGTCAAGGGTAGGGGATCCTGCCCCTCTACTCAGCCCTGGTGAGGCCACACCTGGAGTCTCAGTGCAGAGCTTGCTGTTATATTCTAGTACCTGTAACAGTAATAACTGAGAGGGGAAACCACTGTCCATTTTGGGACTAGGATTTAGTAAAATTATCTGTGTAGCTGATCGAAGTGTGACAAAGACAGTGTGTTTAGTAATGGAAGAAGAGTTGCCTATGATGTTTTCCCCACCAGTGAAGGAAGAGACATTGTGGTGTGTCTGAAGATCTGCATCTCTGCAAAGTGGTGAGACCTGAGCACTATTTATTCACTCCGCCAGCTACAGGCATCTTCAGTGGCCATTTCACACTCCTGAACCCCCAGAGGAGAGGTGCCATTTTATGACCCCAGGGCTGTGGTTACAGCATGAAAGTACAATAGCTCTTGGTTCTGCAGGAGAAGAAAATGATGGTGGTGATGAATCCAGCAGCCGTGAAAACTCCCATTAGCCCTCTTTAGGAAAAAAGGATAATAAAATAGGGAAAATAGGTAAATCCGTTTGTTCTGAATCAGGGAGCTGGAGTATTTATTCAGGTTGTAAGAGGAATAGTAAGAGCAGACGCTACTTGTCTTTTGTCGTTGTTTAAAGACAGGTTTTTGCAAATTGCTGGTCCACTCCCCCATGATAGGTAGATAGATAGATAGAAAGAAAAATCATTGTGGCAAATATGTTCTGCCACAGTAGCATATAATTATGTGACAAAAAAAATACATCAGGCTGTGCTGCAGGCAAGACGTTGTGTCTCATTAGTTTGGTGGTCTTGATCACAAATAGCATGTTTCAAAACTGTCAGCTCCTTCAGATTCTTCTTCTGTGCTTATATGCACACACAACCATACCCAAAATTAGCCAGTTCTTGGAAAGAGACTTCATCTGGCCAGGCCTGTGTCTAATAATTTGTTTGTGCAATTAAAGGGGCACATCCTTCACCTGCTGCACCCAGAGGGACTGAAAGCAGGCAGTAAGGGAGCAGGAAATTTTAGCCAGGTTAGTGACACCAAGTTGTCCCATGCTGCAGGTTACAGTAACTGGCTCAGTGCAGTTCCCAAAGAGCAGTATTGATTATGTGCAGCGTTGCTGAATTACACAGGCATAGATGATCCACGAGATCCTGTTTCAGACTGTGCATCCTTTGGCCTTATAATATTTTCCTCCAGCTGAGTGAGACCAAATGCTGTGAGAGCATGAGTAGCAGGTTGGCCAAGGGCTGCTGGTCCCTGCCTTGAAGCTCGTCTGCTGCAGGCCATCAAGGAAAGGAACAGGGAGCCTGCAGCTAAGGGTGCAGTCTCGCTGGTCATTTTTGCAGTAAATAATTGAAATCATTGAGGCCAAAATTGCCCATGCTACTGGTTGATTTTAACACCTTCTTTTTCTTTTTGGTATTAGGACTCGAGCTTGAGGACAAAGGAACTGCAAGGACTTCCTTGCTGCTTCAGTTCCCTTTGCTAGCTGTGCATTGCATTGTTGCTGAAATACCTGCAAGCCCCCAGCATTTAGCTCCTGTGTCTGTTCCCATCACTTCAGGCGGTAGAAAGGAAGGTGAGCTTTGTTTCTTGGTACCCACAGGCCTTTGTAGACACACCCAGCCCAATTGCCTTTTAGTTGAGTCAGTTCCTGCTGATTGATTTCTCATACACTTTACAGATTGTTTCTATTTTCTTGAAACACCAGTATATGAATTTTAACGTGCCATATAGGCAGTGACAGACCATAATAAAGCACACCACTTTGACCTTTTCAGTTGTCTGCACTTTAATTTACTGGCCATTCTCCTTCCTCTTTGTTTATGGCTCCTCAATATAACTGGCAAGGAGAAAGTAGGTGGGGCAAGTAGGCAAGATGCAGATTATTTAAAAGGCTAAAAATGGACTTTATCATTCTAGTAAAAGTTTATGGTCTTTTGTGGGCAATATTGGGCATTAAAGCGATGATGGGTCATTCTTAGTTATGGAGAAGATTGTAGCTGGAACACAAAGTGACACAGGTTCAACAGGGGAGCACAGACTGCAGTCCAAACTCCTGCTCAAGAGTGTTGCACTTTTCTGGAGCTTCTGGGAAGCTGCAAGTGGGATCTATGCATTAAAAAGAAAAGGGATGTTGGAAAAGGGGAAGGGAAAAAAAAAAAAAAAGGAAAAAAAAAAGCAGCTTTGGTCATTTGGTTTGTTTCATTTGCCCTCAATCAAATTGTTTTGATTCCAGGCTTGCCATTATGTTTTTAATTTTTATGTCTGTGTAGGATTGCAATAAAAAATACAACTAGAGAATGAGGAAGGGCAGCCAAAGGTTGATTACAGTCTGTTGCTCATTGCATAGATTTGTAGGTTTCTGTGGCAGAAGGGACTGTGATGATCCTCTAAAGTGACCTGCAGGCTTTAAATTTTACCCTCTGAGGCCTGTACCAAGCCTAAAAAACCTGTGGCTGAACTGACTCATACTTTTTAAAGTCTGCATTCAGTCTTGATTTAAAGACTCTTTAAGAGATGAAGAACATACAGAGAAGACCTCTGGATAATCTCTTCTGCCAGTTAGAAACTGAGGATAAAGAAAAAGGCAAACAAAAATACATCTTTCTGTTTTAATATTCTGAGCTCGGTTTGCAGCTGACAGAGATAGGAATGACGTGTGTGATGCACTGAGTCTTAGAGCCTTAGAAGCAATAAAAATGCACTTTGTGCTTGCAGGAATTAAGGCAGTGGTGAATTCTCCTTTCTCCTTCCTTTCTAGAAAGCCAAGGGGAAACCAAGAGGAAATCACACCTCATTGATCCATGGAGCCCGGCATCACCAGACTGTGCTGCAGGCGTCACTGCTGAAGATGCTGACTGCAAAGACACCGCTTGGCTCTGGGAAACCATGGGACTCGTTGTTAAGCATTACCAACAAGGTAAAAATGTCATAATGAAGAGATGCAGATATCTGGTAGAGTTGGCTGAAAATTCTCCCTCCTAATGCTTTCCTATTGAAAACTGTGGTTTTGATGAAAGCATTTGCTTTCCTCAGCAGAATTTATTGTTCAGAACTTGAACATGTCGTTTTCATTTGGACTTTGAAACATTCTGGTTTTCTTTGATGGAAGACAAAGTGAAACTCAGCTCTCCATTAGAAGTCAAAGCTTGGCAGCAGACTTCGATAAATTCCAACTCAAGTCATAGTTGTACAGGAAGAAAAAATCTAATTTCCAATTATGGCTATTTATTTAGCTTATTTTTTCAGCCACTTCTAGTTTTCTTAAAATATATCAGGGATTTGTAGATACTCAGAAAAGAACTGGACAAAAAAAGAATTGAAATTATGAGTTGTCTTTGAAATATTTGATACTATATTAAAGTAAGAGGAAGCTCAGAATATGCTTTTACAAATGTAGACATTTGTCCCAGCTTCCTACAGTGACATAAATTAGTTCAGCTCTTTTGCAGTCATGGGATCAGATTCCTAGTCACTCTCAGTCAAATTTACATCTGGAATAAAGTGACACAGCTCTCTTCGCTCTCTTCATGAAACCAGGTGGGCCAGGTATGCAGGGATATAAACCCAAATTCATTAAGTTACCTGATGTAGATCAGTGACAGATTTGAACTATTTGGGTTTTTATTGAACTGGCTGAATTACTGGTGAGTTTTTACGATAGGTTTCAGTAGCTAAGTAGTTGGAAGCAGGGTGGCTTGGTCAGATGTTTCTAAAAATCAGTCCTTGGAGGTGCTAACTCCATTACTGCCGTTCTCCATGGAATAGCTGAAAAAGGAACAGAAAGGAACCATGCTTTTATTGATCATGCAGAGCATGTGCTAAATAGTACAAGGATAAGACCTGCAATACATTCCGTGCTAACAATTTTTGATTTTCAATTCTGTCCAAATTTTTTTCTCTTGGATGATTTTTTCTGCTACATGGAGAAATCTGAAGAACATTGCCATATGTGGGATGGAGAGACAGAAAGTCTGACTTTGTTCCTTGACCTACAGAGAGAGCTGAGATGTTTTCTTCCGCTGTGGTTTCTGCTTTGTGCCCAAGCAGCCTTTTCCTAGTTCCTCACAGGGGATTTTTCGGATGTATTCATTAATAGCTGCTCTGAGGCTCTGCATCCACAAGGTTTTTCATAGCCAGTAATCCTTAATGAAGATCACAGAAATATCTGGAGAGAAGAATTGAAATCTGAAATGCAGCAGCAAAGCTCAATTCCAAAAACCACGGAGAAGCTGAAGGACCTGATGCCGGGTCTTTTGTCTGAGCTTGTGTTGCTGATCACATAGCTGAGATGAACTGTGCTTAGAAAGCTCACATCTCGTTTTCCATCAAATTTGTGCCATTTAATTTATTCATTTAATTTTCTTCCATGATGGAATAAGTTTTTGCAACTCTTCCCTTGCAGTCCCAGGCTAAAGCTCCAGCTTTTATGGTCTGTATTTCTAAGCATTCGTTTTAGGCATTTGCTTTTATATATTGACTTGAATAAGCAATGTAAGGAAATAATATGAGAGGGTCACTTGTCAGAAGAAGAGTCCCCTGTTTTCATTGGCAGGGCTCTGAGGAGGTAAACTTTCTGGGAAATATCTGTTCCTGATGTGAGATGATTGTTTGTGCTGACCCTTGGCAAAACTCATCCTGTGCTTGTCAGTGAAAAAAAAAATGGAAAAAAGTCAAACAGGAGATGATAAAGAATGCAAAAGTGGAAGTGCTTCTCAGAAATTCTCTTGACTGTTATGAAAGTGCTTATCCTTGTACTATGCCCCTGAAATTTCCTGCTGGTTTCTCCCAAAACATTCCCGTACAATACCCTTGTGAAACAAAAGTATTCAAAAACTCTCCCTACGAGGACATCTATTCTTCCAAAGTTACTTCTGCTTTCCTGACCTCTGCTTTGAGGAGGTGAGTTTGTTGAGGTCTGTGTCTAGAAAGATTTGGGCTTCTCCCTGCTTGCAGAATTATGTTGTTTTCCGTCCCCTGTATGGTACCTGTCAAACCAGACTATGTTTTCTCTGGTGGCACCTTGTTATCCTCTGAATCGTGTGGAGAATTTCTTTGGAGGTTGTTACTTGCTAAGGTACACCAGTGCTGATGATTTTAGTTTTGGTGCACTCTTCTAATTTGCCAGATCACTTGGAATTGAGAATAAAAGTACATACTCAGTTAAGAGCAGCGTTTAAGGATAAAAATTAAGGATAAAGTTGCGGATATCCTTAATGTAGTCTGCAGCTTCTACCTGATCCTCTTCTGTCAAACTGAAATCTCTATTCAATAATACAAGATGCAGTTGTTTTTTTTTTAGTCAAAACAATTGCTGCTAAAATGTGCCTATGCTGCTACTGTTGCATGGCAGTTATCCTTCTTGTCCGATGTGATTGTGGGGCAACTGTTTTAGTACTGTTAGTGATGACTTAAAAGCTGAGGAATCGTTTCTTTGTTCATTCTCAAATAGCAAAGAATCAGCAAATAAATCCAAAGTCTTACACATTTGAAAGACTTTGTTTTTATCTCATGGTTGTGAGCTCAGGGCGCACTACAACACGTTTTCAAGCTCTTCAGGAAAACAATGCCAAGAATATTTTAAATGAAAATGTGTAGCATGGCTTCAGGAGCTGGAATTGTAAGAAAGCACACCAGCTATCAATATTTAATAAAACGAGAATTGTTGGTCAAGCTACACAATCCATGTTGCTTTTCAATAACCTCTTGCTATAAAGCCCCCGATGCAGTTTAGCAGGGTGATGAGATAAAGTGTGTGTTCTGCTGCGTTACTGCAGCGTGAGATTCATCTCTCCTGATTCATGAGAAAGTTTTAGTGTAAATTCAGAAGAAAATTATTTTATCTACAAAATTAAAAAAATAAAAATAAAATCCTTCCCACGCAGCTCGCATTAGGAGAAGCGTTCGCCTCACCTAGGATGCTATACGATATTCCAGATTTATTGTGACTGTAAACAACAACTCTGCTTGCTTTATGGCTTTTCTGGGCTCTAACAGTAAAACACAGTATCTCTATCTGGTTGGAATTATGTGTTATAACAGTTTTATTGTGGGGGGATAAAGCTCTGATAAAGATAAAATAGAGTTTTGCTTTTTTGTGTGACCTTGTCATTTGAAAAAGCATTGCACTCTAACGAGATATAATTTAAAAGACCTCTGGGAGCAAATTGAGTTTACTGAGATATTTCTAAGAGTAATTACTTACTGTGAGTTGTCAGTGTGCTCTGTTACAGTTCCTTTCCTAGCAAATGTAGATATCTGGGACTGTGTAGAATGGATTAGAGCTCCTACCATTAATGTTTGATGGGAGGCAGTAGTGAAAAAGATGGATGCTTATATAACTGACATTTTCAGCATTTATGGCCATAGACTAAAATGCCAGGCGCATAATTTCAAGTAAAATGGCAGACCCAACTCAATAATATTTAATGATGTAGTAGACCTTGGCTGGGAGAATAGCTAACGGAAGTCATCGCACTGCATTTATCGAATTGTTAAAATGAGTTGAATAATAATTGTGTTTTGCAGGAGTTTTTGTTTTAGAAATTTATTTCTGAGATCTGGTAGTCGGAAAGTAAATTATTTATCATTGCAGTCAATGCAAAACACTGGAAAGACTTGGAGCTAGTTAACCGATGGCAAGATTTTCACACTGACTTTGTCCCAGTGTTTACAGCGCAGAAATATATTCAGTAGCTCAGGACACAGCTTGGAAGATTCAGTGAGATTGATTTGAAAAGGTAATGGAAGATAAAATTACCTCCCAGAAGGATCTGCTTTTAGTAGTTTGACTCTTTCCAAAGTCGGACCTTTTTGTCTGTCGTTGTACTTCCATGAATGTCAGGGTTTAGGTGCTGAGGAGGTTGTTATATCCAGAGATATTTGCATGCCCAGACTGTGACATCGCTGATGATACTGATAAACAGAATATTGACTGCTTCAGTGCCCTTCTGCTGGTATTTTGGAGAGCCTTAAATAGTCTGTGAGGACTTAAGCTGACAAAGAACCTCAAATCGATGGAGGTTTGTAGATCTGATACCAGATCTGTGGCCACAGTCTCCAAGGGCTCCTTCACTGACAGGGTTTGTCTGTGGGGAAGGGACAGAAGAAAGGTGGCCTGGAAGAAGAGGTGTGCATGGCTATCCCTTTGTGGACCTCTAGGGCCTGTAAGATTTCCATCAAACAGCCAGTGCAGCAGTATGGGAAGTTAACTATTCCAGCCAGAAGTGGGTGATTGTGCACGCTTTTCAGTATGTACATGCATTCAGGTTCACAAACAACAACAACAAAAAGCACATCTTTTCTTTCTCATAGAGACTCTTGAAAGTGCTGAAAGCGTTTCATTTCTTTCATTTCTGTCAAAATTTAAACATCTTGTTTAGAGTATTCTACCTATTACCAAGAAAAAAAAATAGGCTGGAAAGAAATGAAAGAACTTGATTTTTCAGATGCCAAGATTAAGTCTTGAATTTTTCAGGTTGAACAAATACCAGATACGTTAGGTGAATAAACAGAACACTGAATCACCTCTTCATCAATACAAACGTGCTCCTTTTATGTACGTATGGGAGAGTTCTCTAGTTGTGCTGCTTAGCCCTAAGATTTCAGGAGGCACAGCAGTTGAGGATGGGAGGTAGAACAGAGGTCCCCTGAGCAGCCCCCCTCCCTCAAGTCCCTTAGTGTGCCCTGTGCCTCCACTACAGTGTCTTGCACCCCTGAAGATGGGTACAATCCTCTCAGCCCCAGGCAGAACCAAACAGCAGACAGTGTGTCCCACCCGTTAGGGCTTCACAACAGGCTTTAGCTTTTTCTTTGTGGATTGTCACCTTGAGGAACCATTATAACTCCATTCCACCATTGACCAGGCTGTTTTGTCCTTTGATGATTTTTTTTACAGAGGCTATATAACCGCCTGAGGTAACTGTAGGAAATTTTTACTTGCTGTATACCCATTAGACCTCATTACTAGCTATCTGAAAAACCTGGGTCCTGAATAGCCAAACTGATTCCTTTCAGTGAAAGCAATGCTTAATTTGGTTTTTCTTTCAAAGAGCCTACTTGTCATGGCCTTGCATATAAATATTTGGGAGCTGCATTGTTGTCTGTAGTCCACTGTCGTGGCTTTTAGCAGTACTCAGTGGATGTTTCTGTTCTGTACAGAAGTAAAACTAAAAAGGGGAATAGCTCGACTTCAAATCTGAGAAGTGGACCAGGTTAATGTAAAAGTTATGGGAACTTCTGCTAAGCTGCAGAACATTTTGAAGCAATTCAAGCATGGGAGGAATGGAAAAGCCAAGGTTAATGGATGTAATGGGGTAGGGTTTCCATAAGCCTCCAAGAAACTGAGAGGTGGAAAGTTTCCAGGTCCTACATAGTGGTAGTGAGCATCCCAAGAGCAATAGTTTAGGTGCTTACTTTTGACCTTGCTTGTTTGGTACTGCAAGAACCATTTTGCCAATCTGAGCAGCGTTCTGAGCTGATTTGCCTATTGGGGTAGGGCAAACAGCAGTCCTAAGAGTGAATTGCTGTCAGTGCTAGGCTAAGAAGTTCTGCAAATCTAAAGTAAACTGTGTCAGAACTACCAAGAAAAAAATAACAAAAATAAAAATACAGAAGGAAATCCCTCCCCCTGGAGAGTCTCAGCAGGTGCCCAAAAGAAATCCGCAGGGTCAGTTAATTCTCTGGATCCTACCCAACTTCTCTTTAAGTTAATTGAAAAAAAACTCCCATTGACTCGAAGAGGGCTTGGATGTGGCTCAAACAGCTCTTAGTGGCAGCAGATTGCAAGAAGGAACCCCACTGTGCAATTCCAGCCATCTGCCTATGGGTAAGCATTTGATGCTACAAATGTATTTGCTTGGAACATGCAGCAGGGCACTTGGCTTCCAATTAGGCAGTATTTCAGACTAAAGGAGATCTCTCCCTTTCACCTGCGGCCTTTGTTGTCTAAGATCTCTTCTGAGCTAGGGATCTGCAAAGCAGCAACACAAACGGGTGCCCAGCAATGTCACGAGTTTCTTATCTCTGTTCTCTGTTTGAAAAAGGTAACCAAATGCTGCATTAAGTCAGTGTTCAGATCCCTGTGTCTCTGCTGGATGGATGCAGGGCTGTTTGCATAAGACAAGACAAAATGTCCTTGCTTCCATCACAACCCGGAGCTCAGTGATGTCATTATCATTGCCAATCTTTCACTACATTAACAATGGCATTAAATAGGAGGACTGTTTTGGAAACAAAGCAGAGAAGTATGCCGAGTGCAATGTATAAGGGACTCTCTTAATTAGCGCCCACAGCTGTGTGTTGCCCTTTTCAGCTAGAAATGGTGAAGAAGGGGAATGATGTGTGCAGAAAGCATATTTGAAGGATGGTTGTCTTTAGTAGTATTGCAACATACCAGAGAATCAAATGAGGTTTGATGTAAAACACAGCCAGAGACTGTGTAAATTGCCCCAGCTGATTAGGAAACAGCAAAGCTGTTAGCATCCTGGAACATGATGCGTGTAACAAAATTGCTTGATGGTGTGAATTTAGAGGAGAGCTACTGAGCAGCCTTATTGTGTGCCAGGCCTCAGTGGTGTCCTGTGCCTGGTTTAATCATCAATTACTGTAATGCTGGGGCAACCCACCAACAACTTAATTATTGTCTGGAGCTCCAGGCCATAGGTGGCTCCTCTGGGCTATGTTCCATAGGAAAGCAATTCAGCC